GAGGATCTATTGTTAGTAATGGAATATGATATTCATAGGTAAGTTTTAATTAGTGTATAATCACCTGAATATAAGAATTGTGTTTTCGTTACCTTAGAATGAAATGTTTTTATCCATCAACACAGCGGGTTGTCTTTCATGGAGCCATGTTTATACAGTAGCACCATGGGTGTATTAGGAAGAACTGGATACAGCATTGGGGGCAGGCTACGTTCAAGAGCACAAGAGACTTCCGGCAGACGAGCTGCTAACTTCCGGTTAAGCCCTCAGCTAAATTAATAGAGATAAAATGATTTAATCATGCGGCTCTTCTAGACTTTTGAAATGTTATCGGACTGAATTGATCAAATTCTGATAGTGAAACGCATCATCTCATGGGGTGCTGATGCTCAAAAACAGAAGCTTTTTTCACATTTTTCGAGTAATCTGCAGCCAGGGAGTTGCATCGTCACAAACCACGCCGGTAGCTGCCAGTAGTTCCTCATAGGACGCTGATTGGTCCGAACCACTGTGGTTTGGACAGAAGCGCATGCTGTAGCTTGGAGCCTGGCAAGATGGAGCCTCGCCAGCTTAGGTTAGTTAACACTATACTCACCATGTGTTTCTGGAGGAAAATAATCCTGCAGCTGTCATAGTGATGTCATCAAGGTTATCTCAGTTTGGGATATATGAGTGTTGAGTTTGAAAAATGTGGGCCTATTAAAACACTATCAAGTTGCACTGTTGCAAAAGTAGGATCAAGAGTTTTAGAGCTTCGCCTGTATGAGGTACTGAAAGTCAAAATATCTGCAGTCTGTCTCTTACAAGTCCAACCTAATGGAAATCAAGTTAGTTTTACTTATATAGCCCAGTATCACAAATCAAAAATTGCCCCAAGGGGCCAAAAACACCTTTAACAGGGAAAAAATTGAAGAAATCTCAGTAAGAACAGTAGAGGTGGGACAAGGTGGACAGACATGCAATAGATGTCATGTGTACAATACTAAACCGCTAATGTGCCCCTTCTAGTGAACTCAACATTCAACAGAAGTGTATGATTTGTAAAGATTTGCTCTGATCCTGTTGCAGCGGGGGTACCCTTCCTGATCACAGCAGAGCTGTTTAAACAGTCCCACCGCCCAGCAGCCTACATCGTAGGAGGATCACTCAACTGGCTGTCCAACTTCACTGTGGGCTTCGTCTTCCCCTTCTTACAGGTGAAATATGTGCTGCCCTGTCTGCAAGCTTTTCTCTGTCCTAAATGTTAATACACTAGGGGTGCTCAGGCTTTTTAACAATCACAAACTTAAAGTGGTTAATCGGATTGCTAAGCCCCTGCATGGTTTGATTCCAACCTCTATTGTTTCAGAAAGCTCCTGACCGCTTGTTCAATTCAATTCAATTAAAT